AGGCCAGCACCAAGGAATGACACCAATATGTAAACAATAACAGTTTAGTTGACTTCTCAAATTCTCTTCGAGGTGCATAATGCGTGTACGTTTGAATAGACATGGCACCGCTCGGCAACAGGAGACAGATTCAAAATGACGGATGGCTTTCAGAAAAGTTATTGAAGAATAGTGCATCGACTTTGACAGCAAACTGGCTCGGGTCTCATGGATTCATTCTTCATTGTCTGTTTCACTACCAAAACTGACTTTTATACAAAAATGAATTAATCTGAAAATGGCTCAAATTTGTGCGCGCTTTGTGTGGTTTACTCGTCTGCCCCGCTTTGGCGCCAGATCTGCGGAGCAGAAGATGGAAGCTCGGCGGGAAACATAATCAGGCATTATCAACCAGTGGGGATCGTAAGGAAAATGATTGAAGACATTTAAATACGATGCAAAAATAACAATGCCACGCTTCAGGGAAATAGTTGGAAATACTTGAGCTTCACTTTGGCATCCCTCTAACGTGCGGGAAATGAATAACGATTGTAGACTTAAAGGTTTTGTTAAAATACGTTACATATATAATAAAGATATTAAATTAAATAAATAAAATCTGATTCGATACTGATTGAATTGAATAATATTTCAAACTGATCTTTGGGCGAAAAGGATATATGTATAAGTGGATGGATTGGATAAAAAAAATGAAAAGATTAAAGAGCCCGCCTCATAATGAATATGTGGAGCATTTTTAAGGTCTGAGAGTCAGTATTGTCAAAAAGAAAGAAATTACAGTGATTATCTAGGGCATCATGGCACATTATTCTATGATTACCCCTCTCATTTTGGTGTTATTTGAGCAACAAAGGCTTCGTACGGAGCTGATTAAGCTTGCAAACGATCCCCCTATAGATTTCAGACCGCGCGGGTCGTTTTCAGACGGATCGGGTTTCAATTTATTAACTAAAACATATGCCTGGATCATTTGATACCTGTCAGCCCAGTGATTTTGCAGAAATATTTCGAGATTTGAGACGGTGTAAGTATCCCAGTTAACGAGAGGAGAGAACATTGATCAGAACGACGCGTGAAGTTGATGGATGAAAATAGTAGCGAAAAATCGCATAATTACTAAATTGGAACATAATCTTTGCAAAAACGAAACAGTACTAAGCGCTTTATTGGGTATTATATATTACCAGGCAGATGGAATTATAAAGATAACGTGTCTCATAGAGCTTGGAATTGTAATGTCTTTGAGTTGGTGGCTGTCAGGCTAATTTGACATTCTCTAGACATACATAACAAGAAAGAAATAATAGCACATACATAAATTTCTGTTGTATTCTACCACAAGTGCGCTTCTCCCAGGGCCTCTAGCGTGTAAACGAGAAGGGGTAATTTACCCATCTGGACCTCAGGCAGTTTTGAAATAAATGTTAATCGCGAGTGCATTTCTTCGGCATTTCGATGTTGCACATGATCTTTTTTGTCTTTTGCTGAGGTGAATATTTTATGGTCAGTGACATACTTTGTAGCTGTAGCCCTTATTAGACAGTCACAGGTGTGCCACTCTTTTTATTGTGCGCTGTGGTCAGGACAAACTATCATATATATATATATATAAAGAGATGGACAAGCCCTTTTATCATGGTGTAACGCCTTAAATGCCTGGAATTGTTGCAGCACAATAGAACTTATCACAGCGTCATTTTCCTGAAATAAATGACAGGGGCCGATGGATGGCGCTGCGATCATTTGTCCAGTGTTTGAGTATGTAAATGTTGATCTTCAAGTGAAAGCCTGTTTGGTGAAAATTTTAATCCATTCAATATTTGTATAGCTACCGTTGATCGATATGGAGCATCTCTTACGACGCTCTGCAGTCGCTGATGATGCTCTCCAAAACACCGTCGCTTTGATTCTGGTGGCGGTGGTGGTGGGGGTGAAAATTGACCGTGGAGAGCGAAATTGAAATGGTTTCATAAATTAATGATATCTCCTCGTTATGCCTGTTTCTTTTATGCTGCTGTTGGTGTGCCACAACTTTAATCGCAATAGTTAAGCAAACAAACCTGTAAAACGGCTCAAAAAGTGGTTTCTTTTTTATTTTGTTTGCTATAGCTTATAATGTGTGTTCCGCTATAAACATGAGCGTTCTCAAATGTTAAAACTGAGTTGCAAGAGAGAGTGCTTTCCCATTAGTAGACATACGATCTGGCATTCACGACTGTTTGCCAAAACAACCCATATTATTCAAGAAGGATGCGTAAGGTCTGTGACTCATTGGTACCAAAAGAAAAAAAAATGAAGACAGAAAAAGGCTATATTTCAGAAATGTTAATAAAGATAATATATACAAATTGTGAAAAGAAAGAAAGTAAGAAAGAAAAAATAAGAAGGAAAGGCAAAAGGAATGAAAAAGAAAATCTTTACCAATTGAAAAAGGTAAACTCTTATGCCAGGGGCGCAAACACAGAAAAAAAATAATAAGTTGAACACTGTAGTTGCGTCAATTTGACAAACAGGAAGGACAAATCGTTAATACAGAAGAAAAGGGTGTAAGATTTTGGCAACACGTTCTCTTTCACGTATCTAAAAATATCATTGATTCTGTACAGCTTAATGTTGATCGTCTGCGCAGTTTTTAATCGTTTACGTGCTTTTGATACTGCCCCATCCCTCCCCACCTGTCTTGACACATCAATATTTTTGTCTGCTGTTGAGTTTGTGTTTGGGGAAGTAACTAATTCACAACTCATTACAAGTCGGGTGCCCGTTATTGATCGGGCAGGGGGCTACTTTCGAAACCCAAAGATTTATATTAGAACGTTAGCCTCTTTTCCCCCTTTCATACGTGACACGTCGGTAATTGAGGGAAACGTCGGTAAATGCAACGGGCACCTTCCTGCCTCGCGTTACAGGATAAAAGAAGAAATACCTTTTTCTGATAAGAATTTGAGAAGTCTCGATTTTTGGATCATTGTTCCGGCGTTCAATTTGCGGAGAACGATTGCGCAACAATAATATTTTTAAATTATCGTATCGGTTTGAAATCTCACTTCGCGTGATCGATTCGCAGCTTGAAGAAAAATCGGCTATAAATTGATTTGAAAGGTATCAAAGCGTGAAATGCAATTTACGGTCAAATTTAATGAAGTTGCAGTTTGAAAGGGACCGTTGAACGCTATAAATTTCTGAAGCAAAAACAAACATTAACTTTGCACTACAAATTGTATGGAACAAAAATGGTTCCTTTAGTTTATGATCCGTGAAGTATTTGGATAAAAAGCAGACGTTCAATATGCTCTGACTTCTTTGGTGGCATGGCATTGAAGAAGACATTTCTTCAGATACGTTTTAATAGTTACAAAACATCTGGACCACTGCGATTTTGATATCACCCCCAACAGATGTCAAATTTTCGCGTCTGATACTAATTAAACTTTAAAGTCCCTTACACCTAAACAACCCAGTTGTGAAATTCATCAAAAATTCATGACCATTCACTCTTATATTGAATATCCATTACAGATAAACAGTATTTGTATTGCTATAATACCTTGCTAAGACTGAACAACATCTGTGTATTGTGAAGGAGTGCTTTTCTTAAGTGTACGGATTTTGTGATAATTGGCAATTGTTTCGTCTTACAGTTTCTTTAATAATTGAGCCGGGTTCTTTTCTTTACGCAAGGCTCGTGTTAAACAGATCCAGAAAAAAAACTACTTCGATATGCTCGCAGCAGCTCTTCAAAGTTTTTGTCTTCATTTTGCTCTCGATTCAAACAAAGGTGATTCCTTCAACCGCACAGCGGAGCCGTTACTTGTCTACTGAAACAAGTGCAAAGAAAACTGTCAAATGATCATCTTTTATCCTCTGTAATACGATACGTCTAACTGCTATTTCTTTCGTGCTGAGATAATCACAAAATACATGGTTAACTTATAATTTTCTTTTTGCAGTGCTTCTTCACGTGTGAACGCTGGGAGACTCTGGTGGGAGATTCGAAGCCGACATTGCCATTACGTCAGATGCGTTTCCCTCCCGCTCTGACGTGAGTCAGGTGGGCGGGACCGAAACCTCTGACGCAGAGGATCAAATTTCTTTTCTCTTCTGCCCCCTGCCCTCTGTGTTGATCCAACGTTACCTTACACTGATCAATTTAGAGCAAAACGTTAGAGCATTGGTCCAAGTAGCACTGGAACAGCTGTTTTGTCAATATTAGCGCAGTCTGGGGAGCATAAAGCATACCACTAATACCGGCCCTGTCAAATATTATCTTACCAAACATGTCAGGCAAAGTTGCACAGCCAAGCCGTGAGATTTACCTTCAAGAAACAAAAACATGGCGCTCAGGTTACTATTTGACTTTCTTGTGAAACAAAAAAAGTTTCCCAACAAATATACTCTCCTGTCATGTCAATAGAGGATAGTAGAACCTTAAAAGAACTAGCTGGTGGAAAGCCTCCATAATCTTTCTCCGACATCCTGTAAGTTGGGTCGGTCCACGTGTCCAGACTGTCCTGTCCTACTTGAAAATATTAATAAGAAACTTTTCAAACACGCGCTCTTTTGCTACTTATCACTATCGACATATCATAATTTACCATCTCATTACATGACAATACATCCACCGCCGTCCTAAAGTTTGCTATCCATTTCTAAAAAAAACTACTCGAGCGATTTTTGCTTTCGATTTTTTACCCCCGAGCCTTTCTACATCAAGTACCTTACAATGGTGCTACTAAACCGCGACCGTCTCTGAAAATAAACTTGGGGTTTTGTGGAGCGCGGAAGTTGACAGGCAGCATTTAAGTGTATAGAAATGGAGTGCATGAAGTCAGTCCATATCAACACCCCTTCCCGTATCAGGTTTCACTGATTGACGTGGTTGCCATGGTGTACCAACTCACTAAGTATTGTATGAATATCGATATTAGCAAGGGGTCGGGAAGCTGAACCAATCAGCTTCTAGCTTACTTCCACTAATGTCGCCTTAAAATAATAACGCCAAGATGTGAGCCCCACACGTTGGGTTGTTTTCACAAAGTTCAGCAGTGGCGGCAATACAAGCGTTCCGAGGCTACAGTGACACTGTGCCAGTGCTCGCTATGCTACACGAGCAGGGCTCACAAGTCCCAGTCACTAGTTCAGTTAATCCCCAGGGTCCGCCCGCGACCATGCTCCCTTCGTTCGGATTTACCCAAGAACAAGTCGCATGTGTGTGCGAAGTGCTACAGCAAGGTGGGAACATTGAAAGACTGGCCAGGTTCTTATGGTCTCTACCGGCCTGTGAACATTTACACAAGAATGAAAGTGTCCTCAAAGCCAAAGCCGTGGTAGCATTCCACAGAGGCAACTTTAAGGAACTGTATAAAATTCTGGAGAGTAATCAGTTTTCTCAGCACAATCATCCCAAGCTTCAGGCACTCTGGCTCAAGGCGCATTATATTGAAGCAGAAAAACTCAGGGGCCGACCCCTAGGAGCAGTAGGGAAGTACAGAGTGCGAAGGAAATTTCCACTCCCTAGGACTATTTGGGATGGGGAAGAAACTAGTTATTGCTTCAAAGAAAAATCCAGAACTGTTTTACGAGAATGGTACGCGCACAATCCGTACCCCTCCCCCCGGGAGAAAAGGGAGCTAGCTGAGGCAACAGGTCTGACAACGACACAAGTTAGCAACTGGTTCAAAAATAGAAGACAGAGGGATCGAGCGGCTGAGGCAAAAGAAAGGTAACTATACCCAAAAATAACACATATTGCTCATATAAATCTCTAGAAAAGGTCAGTTATGGGGTGTTATGTTTCATACCACCAACAAACCCCCGATACCCCCATACGACGAGCTATGCAGGGACTGCGATAAAGCCGCAATGCTTCCTTTTTATCTCTTCCTTACATCACTTTAAAACAATTTCTCGAATATCAAGCATAACACACTCGGGGCACTCGAACCCTGTTTGCCATCGCTTCCAATTTTTGCAACCATTAAACATAGGGTGAATTCTTTCTGGTTGAAGGCAAAGCACAGCAGCACGTCAGGTTTATTTATGGCACACACATGGCTAAAAGGCAACTAGCAGGGAAACAGCTGAACGGGAAGATTGTGAAAATTCACACTTAAGCTCCTCCGCTTTCAATTTCGTAATTATTATTTTACTGTAATCTTCTTAATAATGAAGTAACCACCATTTCCCCGAGTGATGAGCGGATTGTCCTGGCGTTATAAAAGTTATGAATAATTCCAGGGGCCTTTATTTAACAATGATAATAGTATCTTCGATTTTGTCTCGTCTGGTAGCATTTGAAGTGATTTAATGGGTTTTTCTTTTAAATGACCTTCACTTAAGTAGAAATTATGTCACAGCGATGAAAAGCAGACAAAGTGCGATATTTCTTCAAAGTTTAACTTTACCAACCTTCGCTGACCCTTACTCGGCACAAAGTGCAGAAATCAGACGAATTCAGCAATCGTCAGGATGGCAGCCATGTTTTCAACTAAAATTGACGAAGCGTAGAAAGAATGTGGAGTTATTCATGTCCTGTTCCTCCAATGGTGGGAAACAATAGGGTGTGTTTGAAGAGGAAAGAGCTTAGTTTGTGTAGTCTTCGACCTAACATTTTAACTTTTGCCACGCTCTAAAAACCCCCCATGTCAGTCTTAAAGAGTGTTGATCTCCATTTAACCACGTGTAAAGTTTAAACAGCACGTAAAACTGCACGGTGTAATGGGTCTTATATGAAGGCCTATGTTAAGTCAACATAACTGCAGAGTCACGGAGCGACTTAACGATTAAAATGAAAGCACACGGATTCGATGTGTTTACCAGCAGTCCCAAATACATATGCCGTGAAGTGCTGCCAACGTTTCCATCTGATTAAAACAGCAGGCTTCCGACTTCATATAAAATTCTTGTTAGTGTTGTACTTCTGCTTACTTCAACGGGACGTCCTGTAGAATTCACGCGGAAGCTTCCTTAATTATTGGAACACAGACGCCGCCATTGAGTAAGATATAAAAGAAAATAACCCTTAATTTCCTTGTTTTCACAACTCGATTTTTTTCTCTTCAATGTCGTTTATCAAAAATGAAACCAAACACGGCAATACAGAAAATGAATTATTTATGCAAGGTCGGGACCGTAAAGAACGTCAATTCGTAGTCCATAATATTTCTTTATTATTACACAAAACGAAATACAGTTGGTTTGAATCAAAGGAATTTATTGTGAAGTAAACGGTAATAATGATTAGACAGAACGCTGGGGATTGGCCGTCCTGCCTTCTTTGAACTGACTAGACTCATTCAGATTTTGAGCCAATGATTGTTATGTATTAAAAGTTTCATATTGAAAGACATTGTAATTGTCTGAATCATCCATGGTGAAATGCCGCATAACCGGTGCGTAGGATGCTTCTCGTCGAACTGAATAACGTGATGAACGCACGTTTTATATTTAAATATCTAGGTTAAAATGTAACTTAGAAAAAGGGATGTAAAAATACCTAAGCATGACATAAACAAAGTTACATCCTTCTCCTTTGTGTTTGTGCATATTTAATCCCTCGGCTTACTATGGGTTTGAAATGAGCTGTTAAATTGAATTAATTCCTTTTGTTGAACTCGGAAAACCCAATTACTGTGTTTACATTCGCATTTAATTAACAACCAATGAATCCGTGCATGTTATAGCCTATCTTTCTATTAAATATTCCAAATCATTTGTAAACATGCATAATTTATGGAAGTTAACACGATTATCACGGAAAATTAGGTATTCTGGCAAATTATCCGTACTCGAAGCACAGCGAACAACTGGACCCCGTTGAGAAGGCGCTAGGACGGGGATAAGGCCCTCGAATACGCTGGGAGGGGTGAAAGTGAAATTCGTCACCATTACGCAAGGGGGGGAGATTCTTCGTAGATAATTATCAGTCTTGAAAGAAAATAGCACCTTACCGTCGTTCGTCTGGCCTGGGAACTCGACGTCCTAATAAGAGAAATGAAGGTGTTACTGTTCGGATTACGCAAACCTCAAATTAGGGTCAGTGTTGGGGGGTGTCTGGGGACGTAGAAACGATATTTAGAGAAGAATATCAGGCGAATAAAAATATGAAATAATTACGGATGAATGAACGGAGGTGGTGCTTCCTTCCGGCTACAAACTGACGGTCTGGATAGTTTCATCTGTGAAAAGTCTGAGCTATGAATGCTATATTATTATTTCTCTCTCTGTAAGGTTTCTCGGCTTGATAGTTTATTTAGTTAATAGATAAGCAGAGAAATCGCTCCTGGAAATTTGTCCCAGCAAATTGAAATCTTGCTGTGACTTGTGTTTATATAAAGTCAAGTAAGATTAGACAAAATTCTCTTAAATGACTCGAGAGGAATTTTTGACATTATTTCAATATCGAATTGTTTTACTTATATTCATATTTATGCTAAATGTCCAAAAATTCTAGAAAATTTTGTTATTTTTACATGCACACTTAATGAAGTACCAACAGAATTTGAAAGAGATTTTGATATGTTCTTTTTTGAAAATCAGTAATTAATGAATTTCACTTTAAAGACAGATTTATTCATTCATTCGATGTATGGTCAAATAGTGAAAATTTATGCCATGAATTGAACTAAATAAGGAGTAACTAATTTTATAAAAGAAAAAAATCATCTTTTTATTTCCAGAGGAGACCATGCACCAAACGGAGAAAATGGAGGCTTGGGAGATACGTCTAAAGATGATTCTGATCTTGAATCCAGCTTAACATCGCCAACCAAAATCGAGCCCCCAGACCCACCAAATAGTATGTACGCCGATTTGAAGCCGTCCCCGACGTCGATGTCGTCTGGAAATCCTTTGCAATCAATGCTGAACACTGTAGGGGGACCCGTGGGGGAACATCATTCGGTGAGCGGAATGCTACAAGACTATCACGCACTCTGAAAACGATAGCATTTACTATACATACACAAATATATATATATATAGAAATATATATACATTTACTTATTCTAAAATGAAAATTTCCATATGTTATGTTATTCTGTCGTGTCTCCCCAGCGTTGCCAAAAACGGAACACAAGGCGTGCTGCTTTAATTTCCTGGATTTACATAGTACTTGTGGTCAAAGACCATTATGGAAACAAACTCACTGTTCAAATTTATTGTCGTGTGTATGTACGAACGTGGAGTTTTTTCAAGTTCTCTTTTTATTTTTGGCGTTTTTTTTTATTCTGTGGATGGTGCTTCATTCGAGAGAATCAAAAAAGATATAGAGAATTAGATATTTTATTAATATCCTGTAATTTGCCAAGCTTGTTTTCACTAGTCCAGCGCTCGCTCTGTGGTTTCATCAATTTTGAGCTCTTAATTTGGGACTGCGTTTTTTTCTCACGTTTTTTAGCCTCGATATGAATATTTAAGTCCTCATAAGCTCAGAAACGCAGCAGAACACTTGCACTGCCGAGTCTTAAAGGCAAGCGCTCTTAATCGTGATGAGGGCGCAAGTTTGACGACCGTGGGGAATCCCTTCATTCGGACAAATTGTCTTGTTAGATTTGACAGAACATTTGGAAATAGCAAGAAGAGTCAAAGACAGTTGCGTTAGGTCAACATTTCACCGTCAAAACGCGAAAGATTCGGCAGTGCTCTTGTTCTTCCCAAAAGGAGATGCTTTAAACCAGTATGGAGAGGGTCTTTGTTTGGTTTACTTACGGTAGGTGTTCCAAAAAGGATTTTCGTTTTAATTGATGAAAATGTTTAAGCTTCATAAAATTTTGATTGAGATGCCGGCATTTCATTTCATTATCTTAACGTTTCCCGTTTTAGAACTCTGTAATTTCTAACGCATTGTCCTGCTTAGTTGTAGTTTGTTATGATCATGTTGTTAATTAAAGAGATAAATGGAAAACAGTGTTTAGCTTAGCAAACTCTTCGGCCAAGAAAGCCGTTAAATCTTAGTTAGAAATAATCTCAAATACAAAAATAACTTAGTATGTCATAGACGCTACTGGTGCTTTTTCTGTGCAAGTAAATATATCTATATTTTTGAAACAGTCGCCTTCGCTTTTGAAAACTATTCCTTTATTAGACAGCGAGATACATTGAAGCGAGTGTCCATTAGAAAGAGGTGCCTTTTCTTATGAGAAAGTCAAAATAACCACAGCGGTCGTTTTCCGTACTCTGAGCTGTAGACGGATCAAAAGAATTCCATTTGTATGTATATAATATATTATTTTACTTGTAATTTTATATCGTGCATAATTTTTTCAGCTCTAGTATTTGTAATATTAGACGCTTCCAAAGCTTGTTACTATGGCGGTTGTCATATTTATTAGAATTACAATTTAGAATTCTTTATATTAAAATCTTTCAATAAAAAATATCGGAATAAACATCAATGTCGTATTATCACTTGAACCTCAATTATTGGAATACAGGCACATCTATAATGATGATTAAGTCGCAATTATATTGGATTATTTCCCTGATGATCGAATTATCCATAATGTCATGTAGACCTCGAACCCGGCATTATATAAAGACGGGTTGCACAAGTCCTAGCACGTCTGAAGTGGTGATGTATTAGATCCACTGCATAAAGTAAGCTGCTCGCCACAATTCTGCTGATTCTTGCGGTCTGGCGAGTCCGATCATATCTCTTCATTCTTACTATGCCAGGGACTTTTCCGATGTTCTTTTGCCTTTTATTTGAAGACGGTGTAGGGTTCCTTTCGGTCTATTAGGCAGGGCTTTTACTGTGCACCATTTGTTGCTCTGAAAGGAAACGACTTTTGGGGCAAAAGGGGAGAAAAGGCACAAGTAAGATATGATCTGTGTGCCGAGTTAGCGTATAATGCTCGTTTTTGAATGGAAGTAAACACACTTGTACACAGTACCTATTCTACGCACAGTGAATCGGGGTTACACATTAGGAGCGCAAGTTGGAAGTATTTTCATAACGGGTAAAAATATACAGCTCGGACAATTATGTAAATAGATCGGGTTTCCCCAACAAAATTCATACGAAGGAGACTAATGTGTCCCACCTGAGCTTCTTACTACGTACGCGTGTTAGGCAATTTAAAGGTTACCTAAAGTTGTACGGAGGTTTACTAGCCCAGCTTTCTACCAAATGTCGCTACTTATAATCTCGACGGCTGTATCCTTTTTTTGCTTTCCAAAGTCGTGGAAACACGAGGACAAGTGCCGCAGAAGTCGAAGTATGCCCCCAGTGAAAAGGCCAATTTTCGTTTGGTTCAGCGAACAGCGGGAGATCAACAGTAAAAGGCAAAATTATGCATTGTGCAGTGACTTTTCACATTCGTTTGTTAATTTTATTGAGTTGTTTTAAATGGGCATGTTTGTTCTTTTCTCAGGTGAGCCGTCGAAGCGATGCGAGTAAAAAGTAAAATAATAGTGGAATAATGCTCCCTCTAATTTGATATTCAGTTGATTGGCGTGACCGTTTACCATACCTACGACGTATATACGTTGCCCTTGACTCACAAAAGTGGCTGGAAAAACATTTGGTTTCCATTGTACAGGGAATCGTTGGTATTGTTCAGCGTTAACCCGGCTATTTAAAAGGAGTTGTGTTTTGATACTCAATACTTCAGCACAAAAGTCGCGCCTCGAGAGTCTGTGTGACAAGAAAGCTCTCATGCCGCTCAAGAGCACCACCTAAACGCTCCGTATTGTCACCTTTTCAGCCGTCCCCCTTCAAGTCTTGCTTACTTTGCCATTTTCCCGTACAAGTGTGTACACTGTTGGGATATCTAAATATATACCTGGGACTCCCGTGTTCATTATGTGGCTGTGGGATCAAAACCCGCCTGGCTTCTTGCCGTAATCATTCATTAAACACTAGTGTCAATAATACGGAACGTGATATACAGATATTGATATGATCATTTTGTAACTTCTGGATTTGACACAGCAGACAATGAGTACGTGTAAGATTCTAAAAGTATAATATTCTGATAAACCTTCCATGGACTTGTACGCTCCTAATGATGCACATTTAATTTCATTTTGTTATTTCTGTTTTTAAATGAGGGTGTCTGTGATGTAGACATTTTTAAATGTCAATTTTGTTCGGGATGTATTTGACAATGTTGGTTACTATTCTACCTGAATTGTTAGAACAAGTAATAATATGTTTTTTAAAAAAAGGAAAAGTAAAAAACGGCGCACGAAAAATGGCATAGCCCATGTAAGTGCGACAGACGTTCTTACATTTCCTTCAAATTCTGTGAGCAATCACCTTGAAACCACGTGATTTGATTTTAAAAAAATGCCTCTTTGTCATTATATTCCAGATGGTTTATTTAAGAAATTCTTTTACAACAAATTATTTTTTCAAGCTTATCTTCATCTAGTTTCAACAAAATTAATTTCTGTTCAGATGTTAGTACTTAGGCGTTTCAACCAGGGCATAAATCACGTTAACTGCTTTTGTGTCGTGCGACCAGTTGAAACTTTCTGTCAGATTGTTAGTATATCTACTTTGACATACTCCAGCTTTTGTGGGGTTAATTATTTCGCAGTGACATAATTTTGAGTGTCTCGAACAACTGGTGGTTACTCGATCCCACTTAATGGGGTATCTGTATATTTATTTCTTTGGACTAACGGCGGGTTGGAGTCGAGTGTACACTTTATATTAATGCCATTTACATTAACCTTTCCCGACTTCTCTTTGGCGAGGTCAAACGAAGTATAGTTTCAATTGTACCAAACAGATATTTCATACTTGTACAAGTATACACTCTCGAGGACGGAAACGGGAACGTTTCGAGCAACATCCTTGAAACATCCTGTGAGGAGCATTCCACAAGCAAAAAGGTTCACTGAATCATCATTCCCCCACGCTCCTCAATACTGTACTTTGCACAACATTGCGTACAAATGTCAGATACTGTTACTGCTCAGGTAATAACATAGACAGATATTTCGGCCGAGAAGGCCTCACACAACCTGAACGTACTTTTAGCCCATATATTGTCGGTATTGAGAATCGTATATCATTCCCTCACGCTCTTCAATACTGTACTTTGCAAGAACATTGCGTAAGAAAGTGGGATACTGTTACTGCTCAGGTAATAATATCTGCAGACATTTTGGTTTAGAAGAGAAAGTCTCGAAAAACAAGAGAAGTACATTCTGTCGGCATTTGTGGCTTCTATCAATCATGCTTCCCATTTCAAGTTCTGCGAAATGCCAGTATAATGTTGGTTGTCGGATAAGTACTGGCATTCTCCTAAGAACACATATAATTTCGGTTACATGGATGTTCCAGGCGTATTGCTGACCTGCGAACACGATAAAGTAAGCATTATCAATAGCACCAATTGATTAACACAGTGGACCGGAGGTTTTAGGGAACTGCCGACGGATACGGCACTAAAATACACAGAAACTATAATATTACTAATAAAAGGTGGATTTAAACCGTACAAGAATAATAAAATCACCAGGTTAAGGGCAACGTATTGTTTTTACTTCATTTCCTTGGCTTGTCGATAAGAAAAACAATGGTTGCGATCGCGGCAACAGGGGAGCATTAATTATTCTACGGAGGTATCGGGTTTCTGGCGAGCCACTCGTCTTATCTAAATTGTAATTCGAAATCGAGATGCTATGCCAGAAATCCGATGGCAGAAAATTAATTCTTATACATATTTGGGGCAACGTCATTTAGATCGGACTTGTGGTTGTTGCATACAGTTATTACGGAGCAGCCTTGAACAGGTGTTTTTAGTTTTAAGCAGTTTTTTTGTTGCTTTCGGGTCAGTGGAACAGTGGCAAACTTCATCAGTTTATGTGAATAGTTGGCAAAGCTGACAGCAGTAAAAAACTATTTCAATTAGTAGGAACATTTATTAACTGAAAGCATTATTGAGAACAAAAATGGTTCGTTAATTTTACACGTCTGTGAATGAGTGCTGTTTGTGCACATTTCGGCATATTTAACAAGATGTAATGAAAACTCATTAAAAAAATTGAAGATTCTCACCTTAGAAAACCCTATATTTCACTTGTTAACACTTTTTGGACACAGAAATGTAACACTCAAACACAGTCTCAGGTATTCTATTAAGATGCTTAGATTGGAAATACTTAGATTTGAAATATATAATCCGATTACTACATATAGTCATCTTTCCTCTTGATTGAAACTAATCTTCAGATATCTAGTTCACCAATATCTTGCCATCATGAATTCTTCTCGTATTCCATAACGGATTAAAGCGAAAACATTCTGCACCTAAAGCTATGAAATGATTGTTGCTATTTCACAAGGGTTTTTCGAGTCCATTTTCTTTCCTACCTCCTCGGCCACCCGATTACATAAATTGGGTAGCACACAGACTTTACTTTTTGATGCAAGATCGTGAGATCGCCACTGATTAAAAGATAATTAATTTATAATTAAATGTTTTAAGGTCGTAATGAAAAAGACAAGAAAATAAGATAAGCTGTCAAGCGAAAATGGTTGGCAAGGCGCAGAAATGAAATGCGACATCATTGCTCTCTAGAGACGAATGTTCATTTTGCCGTCGATATGAAAGCTGAAGTATGAGATGGTGTTGTCTCTCACTTCTCGAGCTCTCACGCACATCACGGCAGCGTCCGCGCTTGCCATTTCTAGGGCTGCGACCAATTCTATTTATGTAAACCATATAGAATTTGCAAGATATTTTTCTTTGTTTATTTCAGTAACGATGGCTGGTTCTCGCTACTCCATTTTCTCCTTTTATTTATTGAACCTCCTCTATGAGAAAAAAAATCAACACCATTGTAGATAATCGGTTGAATAACATATCGATCCTCCACTGTGCAGACTTTGAAGCATAATAATTTAAGGTGACAGTATTACCATAATTCGTTTTGAAATTTTTAATTAAGTCTCATTCCATGTTGCGTATAATTCGTGTTAATAATAACAAAAAATAAGAATCAAATCAGAGAGTATATCAAAGTCAAATAAATATTTCCATTCTTCGCTAAGCAACTGTGCCGTTCGTTGGCAATATTGACTCACTTTAAAATCGGTGAGCCAAGTGTCTTTTTACACAGCGTTCCAGTTGCAAACATTAATATTATGAGATCAAACCTCACGACAGAAAGAAACACGACCTGTCATTGAAGAATAATCAAACATTTGCCTTCAAATGTTTCTGTTTTCTGCTTAAGTAATTTACAGGCATGTTTTCCCAAAAAATCAAATGCGAAGGTTTGTTTTTTAAAACAACTAAGATATTCAAAGGTTTGACTTTTACATTTTAGTCGTATATTATTTCTGTGTAAACCTATTAATGGCGGTCGTCTTCAACGGTGGGGGAGCTGTTTTCATGGGCTTTAAGACACCCAAACAGAAAGA